GAATAATATAATATTTAAGATTGAAAAATTTCAATATAATTTAACTGTTGATATATTTCGTTAAAAGTATTGTTTAAGATATTAATTATCACTTTCAGAATCACTCCACTCTACAACGACTCATCCAATTATAAATTAGAGTATCCCCGGACAACTTTCTTCATTTTGCACGGATACTTCCCGTACTCTTATCAATAACCACTACTTACATCCATGGCCAGTGCCTTCTTCTCCACCATCACTCGCAGATGCATATTTATCATGAACGGTCTACTCGCTAAGGACCGCCATGGATGATGAGGTCTACAGCGGAAAATTTCTGAAATGTGCCGATTTAAATATGGAAGCACAGTGGAGAGTGTTGTATGGGAAGCGAAGAATATGGAAGAGAAAGCATTGATTGATAAACAGATGGTGCTGCATTTATTGAACTTACATTTTCGCATTAGCGAATACAATGCGTACATCATCTCCAAACGCATCTACTAACAAACGACCAAGGCCTCAAAACTTTCCAAGCTAATGTCGTCCGTCGATAATATTAATATACCCCTTCAGTAGCTTCTGCTCATTCTGCTCTAAGATGTTCTTTGGTATTCATCCCTATATTCTCCTCTCGTGCTCCTTTTTCGTATTAGTATATCGAACTGATTGAAGTAAGACTACACTGCCAGATGATTTGATTGCTATGCAGAAGATGAAAATCTGCAGCAGAATTAACCAATAAAAAATTCAGCCATCGCGTTTCTGCGTTCCTCCACGGCCTGAAGATATATAAGCAGCCCATGTCCCATTATCAAAAACGACATGTTTGAGTTGAATGTTCCTGTTTGATGTAGAATAATAAATTGGATAGTTTATCCAACGAGTCCTTTATTATTATACAAACAATGAACGATTTCCTTCGTTAATTACCTGCCAGGTAATAACTACAAAAACGAAAATTTAGGAATATTGTTTTTTGAATTAGTATACGCACGACCTTGAGTGGTTGTAAACGAGTTATTATCCGTTGGCGTGCACGCGTAACTAATTATTGAAACGATACTTTATTTCCATGACTAGTCAAAACACCCATTTACAAAGTTAAGATGTATTACTATTACTATATTAATGCAGAAACCAATATGCAAGTCACTTTTCTTTCATATAATCATTCCTCAACTATTTTGTTAATGGTAATAGGTTCTTTATCGAATTCAGGTCAGTATCAGAGGATAGTCAAATATTTTTAGAAGTCAATGATGGAGAAGCTTCAGTTGTCTCAGTCATATTAATATGATTTGTCAATAAGATGATTATAACAGTCAAGTTCACACAGTATTTATACTTTTCTGCTTGCCTGTCACTTGCATCAATTGAAGGCTTGGTATGGCGATCAGAAAAGATTTACATACTGATTTAAAAAAAATACTGTCCACCCTGTATCACACGTGGCGTTGAGAACGCTACAATGTACGTACGAGACTGCCTTTGACACCTTTACGAATATCAAAACGCATTCCTCTGCCGTTCTCGGGGTATACAGGCAATGATACAGTTGTTACGAAGAAATAAAGCCGCAAGGACTTGTATCATACTACTGCAATCACAGAAACACGTTCCTTCTCTTTCTTCTTCTTCGTTACTGGGACATACGTTCATCCGTCGATTGGCCACCCTTGCGACAGAGTCTGCTGCTGCTAACTCTACTACTGTACGTTCCGATACCATCAATTAAGCGCATTAACTTCTCTGCTTTAGCTTATTATCTTTTTTGTTACGATGCCTTTTTCTCCGTGTAGCTACCAATTCATCATGCTCAATTTTTCTTTGACAACGTTTATCCACTGAAACTCAATGCATTTGACTTTCGATCATACATATCCCGCTTGAGCAGACGTTCCCTTGAGACAAAATTAAGGCAGAACAAGTGGCTTCCGCCGGAGAATGAACTACCTTACGAGTTTAAGATTGAAGAGGTGGTGCCGAGGTAAAACGTGAGAGCGCGCGAGAGTTGTGATTATCGACGTGCTGAGTATATCTATATCTATGTGAAGATGATCAACGACCATTCTTTATCACTCGTTGGAAATTTAATTAGACGAAAAGAAGGTGGCATGTTTGTGAAATTTACATATCGAGTAGATGAAGCAAGCCGAGGCATCGCATTAAAAGAGATTCACGAAACTGTTGAAAAATTTGTCGAATCAAAAGATATTATTCCTTGGTTTAATTTTTATTCGATGAGAGTGTTTTTAGTAAAGGTTAGTATTGCCTTCGAAAGGCTTTATCGCGTAAAGAATGCTTTTTGCAGAAGTGCGTATGAACTAACTTATGCAAAAAGGGTGAACCATTAGTAGAAGATATGGCTGGTCGATTCCCTGCAAGGTTAGATGATTGGTTATATTATGAGTTGTTCTTTGCATTTATGTGTCAATTATTAATATGGCAATTCGATTACGTGACGTGTCTGAGCGGTGTAAGATTTTGCTATATGAAACATTGTTGTTGTCTACTTACAAGGCTAAGACATTAATTTCAACTCACGACACTGTAGTCTAAATTATAATTAATTTGAAATCATTATTATAGCATTTTGTGATGGATCAGAAATATCGATTTATTGGGCTTGAACTTTTTCACGCGCGCAAGCAGTATGACTCTTGATCCATAATTGGCTAATGAATCTACATATCTCATCTGCACAGACGTTTACGTGTTATATTTGAGGGATCGGATGTATTATCTATAGTATGTATTCATGTATAGTGAAACTCGATAAATCAATGAATTATATATATTCACCGCCGTAATCTATTCGTTCTGAATTTAAACAGGATTCGCTCTATCATACCTTTCGACGTTATGGCAGAATCCGTGACATCACAGTTCAACCCCTTTCATCAAAAGATCTGCCACGCTTTGCCACGATAATATTCACTCGTATACGGTCAGCTACCAGTGCGAAAAGTTGTGTACATAAGATGGTTGTAGATGGAACGAGGTTAAGCGTATTTTATGATACACTACCTGTAAGGAACGACTAATTGAACTGGGTTTTTTTGAGGAGAGCGAGGTATTGATATCTTTGTTGCATTCCCGTAGAAAACGAATATGATTTATAACTGGATGACAGCGCATCCTCGTATATCGGTAAGTCTATTAGTGTGATTAGTCTACCCACCATAAGTACTTCGAACAATGTTTTTTAAATGTCTTGGTTGGCTGTCGAAATTTTTGAAATTTTGGTTCAAACAATATGAATTTTATGATATTGTATGAAAACCAATGGTTGAAAACGAAGTTTTCTTTTCTGAATTACTTTTATACAGATTCCATTGATAGCCGCCTTGGTAGCCGCCATATCATATATGATGTAAGTTTTTACGATGTCTTTCTTTCCACTGGTTTCCCTCAACCCAGGCTTCATTCACTCTTTTTTTTTTCCTCGGCCTTAGCTTCGACCCAATCCGTATCTTCTTTATTACTTCCAAGATCACTCAGCGTTTCAACATTCAAGAATACCCTCTCTATCAATGGCTTCGGAAAGAGACAATAGATAGGTTTTGGGCATACCGAAAGAATTCTGATGAGGATGATCCTCTACACGACGTCAGCATGTGGTCAGAAAGAGTAGATGAAGAGGTGAAACTTAGAAATTGGTTGAAGGAGCCACCCGGTGAGAATTCGAGCTATTAATTAGAGAATATATAAAGGAGGACTTATGTAATTTGAGGAAGAATGGTATATAATGCTTTGTTTATCCAGAGACGTTCGTTGTCGTGCTTGGGCCAAGAGGTAGCGGGAAGAGCGGGTTTATTGATAAGGTCATTCAGCACAAAAAGTAAGGTCTATGAATACATACAGTTTGCTTATATTTAATTGAATTGGGTTTCTAATTTACCAATCTATTTCAACAGAAATAAAGTATTCATAAGATGTGATCATCTTCTGAATTCACGTGATGAGAATGAACTTGTCTATAAACTAGCCAAACAAGTTGGCTACTTCCCGCTATTCACGATTTTCGTGGCTTTATCTAATATAATTGATACAGTTGCTAGCGCTACAATTGGGCAAAAGACCGGTAAGAGTTGATTCTTGTAGTTGTTCCAAATAGTTTAGTGTCTAATTTTTTTATGATTACTATTATATCGATGAATGAAAGGGTTTACATCAACGACTGACGCCGAAGTAAAGCAAATCCTCGATGTTCTTGCACTGGCTCTATATAGAATAGCTCCGGATGCGCTTACCAAGCGAAATCGACTACTCCTAAATCGTAGCCCGTCTGGTTCATACAAATCTTCTATTGTGGATACGTACGATTCGGATGATATTCCCGTTCTTGTAATTGATAGTTATATGACTAAGGATAAAGAGAGTCATGAATTGTGGGAACATTTGACAAAGCTTGCTGTATTTTTAGTCGAAAACAGGGTAGCGCATGTTATTATTGTTAGTTCTAATACGGCCATTAATAAGACTCTGAGCAAAGGTACGTACACTCTACTTGACCGGATTGAACGTAAATTGAACGGTTATTATAACAAATGTAGAATATACAAGTCTTATAACTATTAACTTATTTCTGATCATAACTCGTCTTAGCACTCCCGTATAAAACGTTTAATTACGTGGTTCTCTCAGATGCACCTCCTGAGAAGGCCATAAAGTTCGTCCGCCGTTATGTAGGCTCTGTTGATGAACGTGAACTAGAGGACTCAGTCGTGGCACTTGGCGGTAGACTTACTGATCTCAAAATGTTCATAAAGAAGATAAGAGATGGACAGACATCTCAAGGTATGTATTTATATTAGCATTGTTTAAGATTAGAGGGTAACGGTAAGACCTAGTATTGTGTACGGATCTAATCGAATCTCGATAGGCGCTTTTCGTGACTTGCTGGGCAAAGCGGTCATGGAAATCCGTAAACACGCGTTCGGAGACGATACAGAAGATGCGAAGAACATACCATGGACTGGAGTTCAGTTCTGGAAGGTTATGGTTGAGTTGTCTAAAAGTGGAAATGTAAGTGCTTTATAAGATTGGGCGAACGCGTTTTAATTGGAGTGATGTACTAAGGGAATGCTGTAAATAGATCCCGTTTCTAACGTATAATTATCTCGATGTCTATTAAGGTTGATTATGATTCAATAAAATATTCACCCGCGTTCAAAGGGGACGACACGCCATTGAAAGCAATGGAAGAGGCGGAGCTTATCACAATAGTACAGCATTATGGTAAGCGAACTGCACCCATTTACTATTCATTGCTTTTTCATTGTTATTTCTTATTTTACGTGTATTGCTGTTCCAAGTCTTGATCGTAACTATAATACTTTTTTTGTATCGTACAAATATATCTACGCCTACACATTTATCTAACCATTACTCCATTTTTTGGCTATTGGTCAGGTTGTCCATACCTCATCCGTCCAGGAAAACCACTTTATCAGGCAGCATTTTCTGAAATTATTGCTGATGATCACTTTGCTGATACCATGGAACTTCAAATGAATCAGTATCTTTCTGCATTTGAAACTGCAAAGGTACAACAATATGAAGATGAGCTGGCGAAGTTAGGATCATGTTTTACCGAAGATGGAAAACGTCTGTTAGGAGGCGGGTCTGCAACTGGAGACGTGGGCGAAAGAGTGAAGTGGCTTGCTGAGAATATTGGTAACAAGCATGTGGTGATTGCTGAATACGAAAAGAATGTTCGTTCGTTGAAGAAAAAAATTGCTGATCGCCAACCACGTTAGATACAATTAATAATAAAGAAATGTTCATGTCCGGCATCATCTTGTTCAGATTGATTGTTTGTTATTAAGTATATCTTGCGCGGAGACTTGTCCCTCTATTAGCTGAAATGCTGTCCATTCATGTTGCGTAAATCAATAATTGTGTATTAGTCTTGGAGGCCATACTCGTATTGGGACTATTAGAAGCTCACTATAGTGATTCAAGATATAGTATTAGTATGCTGGATATAATCTTTGATTGCAGTATTAAACCAATCGGGGTTGGTATGAAATGAGCAAAGATACCCAGCGGGATATCAAGGAAAATTTGCCTGGTACTTCAGAAATCATATGTGGAGAAGCCCCGTGACAAGGTTAAAAGCTAGTCTAATCCTTTTAATTAGTATACAATGCAACTAACAGAAAAAATGACCGGTAAATGAAAGTAAAACAGCTCATTAGAAACGTCGAGTCTGCTAGATTCTTTAAAGATAATAAAGAAGTTAATATAATAATAATATTCTTCACCATTTTTTCAATAAATGTAAAAAGTTTATATATACAGCACGTTTTCATAAAATTAATTAGAACCATACCAGGAGCTAATTCTCCTTCCAAAGGTTTACAATTAAATTTAAATCTGGACTGTTGGATAATCAGCTTATTGAGTGAACCTACCTTATTATTTAACACTTGCTAGTCGCGTTACCATTTTCATGTCATGTAACCGCCGATTGCCCCTGTTCCTGTCCATAAATGGAAATATATTGGATGTACGATTAATCAATGTCAAATAAAATAATTATTATATATTAGTATAAAGCAAAAATTTCATGTTTGTTTACATGATTCAGTTTAGATCCAAGGTGAGTGAATAATGATTGATTAATTACATGATAAATTTTCCAATTTTTTGTTACACGTAAGCTTTTATTATAGCAGTATTCATTTACAGTACGTCGTATAAACTCATTTCGACGTCTCCCAGAATTCGAGAGATGTAGTTGTTGGCACATGAAAGCTTACCTTTTGGTCATGTGCATGTTAATGTCCACGGTGAGCAATGGAATATCTCAGTACAGTGGCCTGCCAAAATTTTACGACCACCTGCCGATCATCCAATTGCAATCTGCCACTTGTTCAATTTTCAAAC